AATCTATTCGTTTGAGTGCATGAAATATATATGTTTGGATAATTAAAAAAAAATTTCAAATTGTGTATTTTGAATAATTTAAAGAAAATTGCGCAACATTCTCAGATAATCAGCTTTAGAAATTTAATGTAATTGTCGGAGCCCAAGCATACTTTAAATTTCATATATTTGGACAATTTACAAAATTTTGCGCTCTTTTTGAATCATCTTGCAAAACTTTAAAACATAATTTTACATTGAAAGCTCCTTCAAGAAGCACATATATAACTTGAAATTATGCAAAATTGATTTATTTCTTTAAAAATAAGGAAGCATACACAAGTTGAAAGTATTCAAATAGTTATTTATACAAGTCTTAAAATACTCGCACAAATTTCAAAGCTTGCATTTGAGTTGGAAAAAAGCCTTGGAATTTGTAGTTCACAAATCATTCAAAATTCAAAAAGTTTGTGACATTAATATTACGAACTTGAATTGTATGCAAAATTTCATTTTAGTATTTCAAGCAAAGTTATTATATCCGCTTGCAAATCAGTAATGTGGATTGAGTGGCAATAAAAAGTATTAAGTTTTTATGGTTTGTTCAAAACAACATCAATTTGCTTGCATTTAGATTACAATTAGGTTTAAAGGCACAAAAAAAATTTCATCTATGCTCAATGACAAGCTTCCTGATTCAGAGTAAACTATACTCAAGTTTTGAGATTAGATTTTGTAAACCCTATAACTTCACATGTATTGCATTTTGAAAATCAATATGGATAAGACGCTACCCAGTGCCCTCATTTTGCAAGAACTTTTAAGATCTGAGTTTGAAGTTTCCCATAAGCACAAGCTCTTATGGAGAAAATTTCTTGTGATGAGAGAATATTGTTGATTAAGGTTTGTGGTTTAGAATGTTGAATGTTCGGCATATAGTAGCAGTAGACGTAAAGCTTTATATTGTAAAATTTTTTCACTGAGAATTCAAAATAAATGGTGATAGAATTAAGAAAACCCCAATCAAGATTCCAAAGTTTTCTCATCCAAAGTTATTGTGGTCCATGATCACTTAATCAAAGGAGGAAATCGATCTAACATGATCGAACGATCCTTATCAGCACCACGAGTTGTATCATTCAAGAGAATTTTGTAGAGTTATCGTGGATATTTGCCTAAAGAAAGCAATTTAAATCGACTATAGCTAACATAGTGTTCTGTCAATTAATATAGCATTATGATTACCGCTTAAATTACATAAAATTACAAGAGCACAAACAAAACATAACTGTGATCGTAATATAATGATGCTATTTGACTGTAAACCACCCAATCCGAGACCTCTAGTAGTAACCGCTACTCTTAGTGGCGGGCTTAAGGCAAACCA